AATAGAATGGGAAAAAAAAAGCATCTGAATGCAACAGTCACAGTCAATGTAAATAAACTTTCCACGTTGTCTATTTTTTTAATATAATAGTTTTTTTACATTATTTTGTGCCTTTTTAAATAGTCAATTTTAATGCCTAAATTTTCTTTCTTTTGCAAAGGACAGTTACTAATATGATCAAGTAATACCATTCTCTTATTACATTCCTTGAAGTTTGTACATTAATTTTACTAATTTATTTACTAAGGTTGAAGAGGGAACAGTGTTTTATAGCAGATTTTGTGCCTTAAGCAAGCTTTGGATTACATATTTGTATTTATAAAATGTTTTATGGTTTAGAACCTTACATAAAATGCTTCAGTTTATGAAGAGCATTTATAATGTTATTCAATTTCTATTTTTCCCATAGACATCAATAACAATTTAAACTGAAAAATTTTGTTTACAAATTTCTTTTCAGGAACACACGAACTAAATAAAGCACTGCACACCCAAATTAGTAAGCATCCTCACTTCAATGATCCAGCAGTAAGCATCTTTATTTAGACCATTCCCTTCATTAGAATTGGGCTAACTTGCTGTCGGATTACAGTGCCAAGTCTAAGACGAAGTTAAATACCATGGACAGCTGCTTTCTAGGCCAGTAACAGCCTAGCACCATATCAGATCAACAGAACTCTACAGCCCTGCCAGAAACACAACAAAATCACTGCTGCACATCCTGCAGGATTCAAATTTATTCCTGACCAGTTTCAGAAGAACACTGCAATCATTTATAAATAAAAATACCCTTAAGACAAAAATCTCTTCTTAGCTTAGATATTTCTAAACCCCAGTTAATGGCCTACTTATTTCAAGCAAATTTCTAAGCAATAAATATCTGGCGAAGGAAAGCATTTGTAAGATTCATTGCAGTTTATGGTAATATCTGTCCTGTATATATCCACTGCATACGAACTAGAGCTTAGAAATACTATAGTATGGCAAATACTATATGCCCCTAGGATCAATGACTTGCTAAACTAATTCATTGAGATGAATTCCAATCTTGAGGAAATGTTTGGGAATTCTCATATTTGATATAATTTTTCTAATCTACTTTTCATTTAAGAACAGAAGATAAAAAGGGACCTAAAATTTATCAAAAACAAAAACCAAAAAACCCACAGTTGCCAAGGAATATGTTAACTTCTTAATATTAGTTTCTACACATAATAATTTCCTAACCTGGCCCTCCCTTGTGGTGCAGTGGGTTAAAGCACCGCACCATGAAGCTCACAGCAGCAGCTTCACCAAAAGTTCAAAACATGACCTGGAGGTGACCCACATGGCATAGCAGACCTCTCCTGACCTGCCCAATGCTCCTCTCAGCAGTGTACTTCATTGATCTGCCTGTTCTGCTCCTTGCTCTGCCCCTGGCGAATCCTCTCACCACTCCTGCACCTCTGGCTTGTACCCCAGTTCTGTATGCATAAATAAGTAAAGTATTAAAAAATATATTCCTAACCTTATGAATAGCTATTATTCTTTAATTTTCCAAATTAGGAACTAAGGCTATGAAAGTTTATGAGACTTTTCTGAGGTGACAGGGTTTAATCACAGGCTGGGGTTCAAACCTTTTTTTCCATAGTCAAAGTGTAAAAGTCACATTGTGACAATACAACAGTTAAAGACAGATAAAACAGTAATAAAGATAACAAATGAAAAAATACACTCAGCATGGAAAAATTAAATGAAATGAAAAAATATTACTTTATGAAAAATCTGCACATTCACATTTTTCCAAGCTTCAGTTATCCCATGGCCTCATCATTAAGGAAACCAAGATTTTCAATTTTTCTATGAAGCAAGTAGTTTTAAAGATATTTCACTGCCTACAGTCCAAAAGAGCTGATGATTTCTTTTTAGTAAAATCAATTGAAGAGCTATGTAATAATATCTAAATATTCTTCTTCCATTGTCCCAAATTGCCAATAATTGTAATTCTTCATGAAAACATGTTTGGCATTTTGCCTCCTACGGTCTTGTACAGCACACTCCTCTCTAAGAAGGCTCTACTGAGGGTTACATATGGTTGAAAGGCTGTTTTCTGAGTGTTTTGATGATGTTAGAAGCAACTTCTGTGTAAAAGGTGGGGTACACATTGAAAAATCAGTTTTGAGATGAGACAGATAGATGGCCATGATCAAGGACTCATCTCTCACTGGGAAAACTTATTTCAATATGTGAGGAGCAAAATCTCCTTGCGATTCTGAAATCAGGCATATATTAAGGACTATAGACTGAAAAAACAAGTCCCAGTAATAATTCAAAAAAGTGAAATTGACAAGGTGAAATTTCCTAAAGGAAATCATATAATCTGTTTCATATAAAAATGTTTAATTGGGGCCCTCCCTGGTAGCACAGTGGGTCAAAGCACAGCACTGAGAAGCTAAAGCCACTTCAGCATGAGTTTGATCCCTGCCCTGGAGGTGATACACCTGGCGTGGCAGACCTCTCCTGACCTGCCCGCTGCTCCCCTCAGCAGTGTACTTCAGCAGTCCACCTGTTCTGCTCCCCACTCTGTCTCTGGTGAATCCTCTCACCACCTGCACCTCAAGCCTGTACCCCAGTTCTGTATGCATAAATAAATAAATCTTTAAAAAAATATTTAATTGTGTTCTAGAATTTTTGAGGAATACCAAACAAGACATGATTAAGTTTAAAATTCCATTCTTGTGAATGTTTACCAAATGATTAAAATGAATAAATTAAAGTGGTTTGATGCTCAAAGGAAAATAATAAACACATTTGGGTAGGGGTATAAGTAAGGGAGTAAATAGTCATGAACATAATCTGCTTTCTTTTTAAATTAGGCAAATGTAGAATTTAAAAATATATGATATTAAGCATAGCACAAAATAATGGTTATGAATACCAACTGTTGACAAATGTCTGCCTAAGTTTCTGACTCAAATTATCATAAAAATGTCAGGACTTGGCCCTCCCTGGTGGTGCGGTGGGTGAAAGCACAACACAAAGAAGCTTAAGCCACTTTCACATGAGTTCGATCCCTGCCTGCCCCGGAGGTGACCCACATGGCGAGGCAGACTTCTCCTGACCCGCCCACTGCTCCCCTCAGCAGTGTACTTCATCGATCTGCCTGTTCTGCTCCCTGCTCTGTCTCTGGTGAATCCTTCCTCTCACCCTCCGCATCTCTGGCCTGTACCCCAGATCTATACGAATTAATAAATCTTTAAAAAAAAATGTCAGGACTTAATATTGTAGGCAAAATCTTTCTAAAGCTACTGTAAAGAATGCTATATAACTCATTGGAGACTCTTTAAACTGTATTGTAAAAGTTTTCCCCGAATTCATAAAACCAGCTCTCCCCAACTTCCATCAGAATACAAAAAAAATCCCCCTGTACTCTTGTGTACACCATTGGATTGCTCAGCAAATTCCTTTTTCATAAAAGTTCCCAACATAACCTTCAGCCCAGCCTGTGTCTAAGTTAATGAAGCTCCACTGAGGTGTAACAAAACAAAAAGTACTAAGCTCCCTAAAAGACTTTTTATCCTATATGTGCCAAGGAAATGATAGTAAATCATTTCCTAAAACATATGCTTTTTAATTATTCAACTGAAATTGTAATAAACATTGTGGATTAATGCAAACCACTCAATCATGCTCCTGGCTACAAAATCAGAGTAGAGAGGGGCTTCAACCAGCCTGCTTGTGCACTCAAGGAAAGAGACTCGGTCATCATATCTGAATGCTTGTTTGCATGCACATTGCTAAATGATATTTTTTTTTTTTTTGCTAAATGATATTTTTAACCACAGTTTCTAATATACAACCATACACTGAGTGAAATGTCAGGGAAAAATTGCTGTACAAAACATTTCTCTTTTGCTTGCAAAAAATAAGAAATATTTATGGTGTTTTTCTCCTGCATGGTGCTTCTATTTCATAGCTGCTACAAAAATGTTGGCTAGTCATCAAACTTGACCATGAAGGAGTTACGGTGAATAAGTATCACTTCTTTTCTTTTCACACTGGACAGAATATCTCACCCTGCACTCAACACCTGCTTTTTGCACACATAAGAGTTTTCCCAGATGCTAGTATGAAAAGTCTGCATATGTATTTTGGCTTTCTGTTTAAAATAACATGCAGAGAAGACATTCCAATGTTAGAATATAAATCAGAACTGTGTTACTATGTGTAATGTAAAATTTTATCAGCCTTGCTTATCGACTACAATTTTGCAGATCAATTTCTTTGATTTTTTTTTTTTTTTTTAGTCTCTCTGCTCATCACCTAGATGGTCATATTGGTCATTAAAACTCCCTCAAATTCCGCTACAAAAATAATTCAGGTTATGTTTTTCATGGTGTGCAAAATGGACTATAGAGACAGCAAGATAGCCTGTAGACACAGCCAGTGACTTCCCTTCATGGACCCTGAGAAGTTACTGGCAAATTGATCTGAAGCACTGTGTCTGGATGATGGATACTGGTTTATGACCATGTAGACCAGTCCTGCTAGGCTGATGACTTAAAGGTTCAGCTCTGGGAATATGTTGTTCCCATATATCTTTAAATAATTCTTGATCACATGCCCATTTATAAAGAAAAACCTTGTAACTTGCTAGTCTAAATGCACATACACTTAAATGCACATACACTTTTTCATGAACTGAAATTACCCACAAAATCATTATGTCTACCTTCAGAAAATGAAACAAACAACTGTTGAGATGCACAGGGATGCTTATGTATTCTATAGCTACCAATGCTTAACCGAAGCTGGTAACTTTTGCACTTAGCAGACCTCTTCAAGAATAGCCCCATGTCATTTTTTTTCTGTTTTCCATGTCAGTCTGGTTAACACCAAACTGAAGAAAGAAATCAGTTACCTAACACATCATCACATTTAAAAAGCTGTAGACCTCAAAAACTTAGAAGTGCAGAACTATGGTCAAAAAGAACATTAAAGAAACAACTACCACCACCAACCTTTGCTTGGGCCTCTGGTGTTGTCACCTTGACGACCTTATTGCGATTGAGCATTTGCTTCACCCATCTTTCTACTTGGACGTTGAATTTCATGAAAATCACATAGGCAAAATAGGCTGATAAAAGGAGTGAGCTTTCCCACCACATGATAACGTTATCCAGGAAAAATATGATCAGCATGATCAAGTCAATGATGTAGAAGGACACATCTCGAAAGAGTGGCCACCATGTCAAATTTAAGATTTCTCTAGAAAACAGAGCACACATTCCAATAACAAAGAGGATATTGAACACTGCTGAGCCCACAATTGTGCCTATGCCAACATTGCTGTGAGCAATAAATACCCCTATGAGTGATGTGAACAGTTCTGGCGCGGAGCCCCCTGCAGCCATAAAGGTGGCTCCAGCCACATCATCAGAGATGCCAAGTTTTTCAGTGATGACAGTCAAAGAGGGAACAAAGAATTCATCACAAACAATGGCTAAGGCTATAAACATGTAGATCATCCCAATGACATGGAGAATGATGGCGCCTTTTCTTCGATCCTCCAGGGAAAAGATGTCTCTTGGGTAGTCTCCTTGGACTTCATCTGTATTATTCTCAGATTTGCCTTCCTGAGAAAGAGGTGGCTGAGGGGTGTTACCATGAATCTTGTCCTTGAAATCTAAGAGAGTTCTTTGCCAATGACCGTGTGCTACCATAGGGCCATTTGCACCATTTACTTCTCCTGTGCTCTGTGCCTCTGTCTCAGAAAAGGCACTGATTAAAAATGGGACAGTGCTAATTGCTACAAGGCCCATGAAAAGGCCTAAGATTCGAATTAACTTCAGTTTTTTCCTGACATTACAATGTCTCCGGCAGCCAGATGGTGACATATCTGAACACCATTTCTCAAGAAAAGTGACGGTGGTGCTTTGGTGCAGATCCATTCTGGATCTTCTGGTGGGTGTGGTGGTCTTCAAATTGTAGGCTCAACCAGAAGGTTCTTTCATACTTTTCCTCACTTTATAGTTAATGGTGCTTTGGGGGCACTTCCACAATCAGGGATTCTTAAGCTTCACAGGAAATATTTTCAACATTTATGCTTAAATGAAAATAAAAACAAGGATAATTAAATTACATGTCTTTTTTTTTTTTTTTTTACAAAAGAACTCTGTAGATCAGATAAAGTCCCATCTTACAGCTGTGTGACCTTGAGTAAGTTACTTAACTTCTCTGTGCCTCAGTTTTACTATTCCCAAAATTAGGGCAATTATAGAGTCTACCACCAAGGATTGCTTTGAGGATTAAGCAGTAAGAATGGGATGTGGCACATAGCAGGCACTTTCAAACACATATGCACAAGCCAAAATAAGTACTTTGGTAAATCCAATGTTAGATGTAGATATAGAAGTACAATAATTTTACAGATTAAAACCTGTTTATTCCAGCCCTCCCTGGTGGTGCAATAGGATAGGATACAGCACTGCAAGCCAGCCACAACTGCTTCAGTGCAAGTTCAATCCCCAGTGCCTGGAGGTGATCCACATGGCATGGCAGACCTCTCCTGACCTGCCTGCTGCTCCCCTCAGCAGTGTACTTCATCAGTTGGCCTATTCTGCTCCCCACTCTGTCTCTGATGAATCCTCTCACCACCCCTACACCTCTGGCCTGTGCCCCAGGTCTGTATACATACATAAATAAATTTTTTTAAAAATCTGTTTATTCCAACTTAAATCAAGAAACGACTTCCCAGTGCTAAAGGAGACCCCACTTCTTTTAGAAGACCTATGTACTTGACAGTCCACAGTTATTCATTTTTTTTTTTAGTCCAATTATATACTTCAAGGATTGACTGTTGCTGCTGCAGAGAGCATTCTTTGCCTGCACAAAGAGTTTAGGACCTTATCTTTCACGAAAAGTCTATTCCATAAAAATTAAAGTTTATGGCCCTCCCTGGTGGCGCAGCGGGTTAAAGCACAGCACTAAGAAGCTAAAGCCACTTCAGCAAGAGTTCGATTCCCGCCTGCCCCAGAGGAGAGCCACATGGGGAGGCAGACCTCTCCTGACAGGCCAGCTGCTCCCCTCAGCAGTGTACTCCCTCGATCTGCCTGTTCTGCTCCCCACTCTGTCTCTGGTGAAGCCTCTCTCCGCCTCTGAGCCTCTGGCCTGTACCCCAGTTCTGTATGTACAAATAAATAAATCTTTTAAAAAAATTGATGTTTACTCCCCCCCCAAAAAATAAGTTTACAGACAATGAATACATTTCTTCACTAAATATCTAGACAATGTTTTCAGCTAAGGTTTATTTAAAAAAAAATTCTAGTCATTTAAAAGTGACAACTTAGAAAAATCAAACAAGTCCTAACAAGGATGCTATTTCCAGACCAAAAGTGTAGTTCATAAGCAATATAGAGTTTGTAGCTACATCTCTACCCACAAAATCTGCCAAAAATAGTTCCCCAACACAGCCTTTTAAAGCAGGTTACATGTCCCAGCAGTTTCACTCTATCCCACAGAGGTATGGGTAAAATATCCAGACATGACAGCTGGTATTCTGAAGGTTCCTCTTTTTCTTTATTTCTTTAACATTGCTTTGGAATTTTTCTTCTCTCTGTATCAATGATTTCATTTTAGAGGCATTTGCTGAGATTATCTTAGGTATAAAATAAGCTAATTAAACACATGCCAGTGAAACATTGAGATTAGCTGGAGCTCAGGTTTGCAGAGAAAGAGCACAAGTCAAATCAGGCTGAGTTGCTGCTACTCCTGAGATAAACCGACCGATCACAGAAATTCTTGGCTGACTGCAGATGTCAATGCTTAGCAGGAAAGATTAAGCACCTCACAGCCTCACAGCGCTCTGGGGATTGTCACAATGCCGGCAGGGCTACTGGCAGCTACCGACTCAACTCCCAGGGTGCAAGGATCAGCTCCAGCCCCAGCCGGGCTTGACTAGTCAACCCTGCGATGAGCTCCATAGACGCAGCCTCGGCCGGCAAAGTGCACCCCCAGCCGCGCCCCAACTTTGCCTTGTGTGGTCCCAAACTTTCCCCGGTGGGTTATCAGGAAAATAAAACTAAAGGACGGCCACCACATTGTTGAGGCCGGAGCTGGGATGCAGCTTCGGGAGGCGCTTGGCCCGCCTATCCCAGTATCGTTCGTGGATGTTGGGGGAAGGCAGAGCCCCTTTCGCGTTTCTTCCCCAACCGCAGGCCCTCCCCGCGGCCCCCTACCCCAAGCCAGAAGCCTGGGCTGGGAAACCGTGCCCCGGGTGGAGGGAGTTGGCTAACTCCTTGAGGGGCCTGGGGTCACCCAGATCCACAGCGGAGACACCTGTGAGCCTGCGGCGCAGCAGCGGGGTGCGCGCCACCGGGATCTGCGGTCACCGACCCTGGAGGCTGGCGGGGGCTCAGCTGCGCGCACTTACCAGGTTCCGCCAGGAGGACGCGGACGCGGGGCCCCGAGTGCGGTCCGCCGCTCAGGTAAGCCGCTTTCTCCGGTCCCTAGCCTCTCTGGGAGCCCGGGGTCTGGCTCCGGCTCGCGCTCGCCGCCGCTCTCGCCGGCCGGGGCTGGGCTCGCTAGGAGACTGAGCCCAAGCGAGCCCCGTGAGCCGCCTCTGGTGCCGCCCCGCCCCCGGGCCCCGCCCTCCGGGCTCTGCGCGGGGAGCCCCGCCGCCCCGCGTTCAGGCCCGCGCGCTCTGCTCCACGCCCACTGGGCGCTGAGGCGACGCCGGCCGTCGTCTCTTAGGAGATTTCTCTGCAGTGGGGATCCAGTCAGGATTTGCGAGCGAGCAAGGGCAGAGAGGAGAAATCGTACAGGTCGGTGACGCGCCTAATTCCCAGAGCCTTACAAGTGCGGGCAACTTTGAGGTCACCTATGCTGGGCACCTCCTCCCCAATTATTTGCAAAAGTGACAGCCGTCACATATTTCTTTTGGAGGACTTGTAATGTGTAGGTGGGGGGCGGGAGGCATTCAGTCTAAAGCCACTAAGGCTGTTAGTGCCCAACCTTACGAGTTCCCCAAGTGAAATGCAAAACTGACTTGCACTTGGAGGGTAAGGAAAGAGGGAGAAAGAGGCAGATAGGTAGGCATAGGTTTTGATAAGGGAGAAAAACCTACTACACACTGGATTTCTTTTGCTCTGTCAGCAAGAGGAGTGGATCTCTCAGGCTAGGATCTTAAAAGTTTATTTAGAGGCTTTAAGCAGGATTCAGTCACTTAGGCCAGAACAAAGCGGGTGGTAACAGTAACACAGTATACTCTCACGGCCGTCCTTGAAGTGACCCCTAGTTCTGGATTAATGGACTCAACTCATATTCCAAGGACTGGGGACCCTCCAGTTGCTCGGGTCAGCTCTCTGGTCATTTGGTAGTCACTGTTCTCTCTCTGACCTCCATCAACAGGCCTGTAGGATTCTCTCTGTTCAGACCTAGGGTTTGCAGACAGTCCTTTCATTTCAGGAGTGATGAGACTAAGACCCAAGACACAGTATCATGTTGAGTCATAGGCTGTATTCATATTCTGGCCTTCTAGACTCCCAGGTCACTCTTTCCTGCTCTGTTCAGAAAGCACCATGCCCTTAACCTCAAATAATGAAGTCAACCTTACCAAGAATAAGAGGCAAGGATCTGGACAAAAAGAGTGGGAGAAGACAGAAGAATAGAGTATTGAGGGAAGCCGCCCCCTCCCTTTTTTTAAATAATATATATATATATATATATATATATATTACATCATTTTGTGCATTTTCCCATCTCAGTTGTAATCCCCTTGGTAAGGGAAGCCCCTTTTATCAAGTCCGGTGACATCAGGAAGGCAGCTAAGTTTCCCACTACAAGAAACCTTTGAAGTTGTCAGTGTATATTTCCCACTCTTATTACCTTTTCTCCCTCCTGTTTTCAATTTAGAGGCAGTTTCTTCATGCCTTGTCTTTCCTGGGACTAGGGGTAATGTCTATTTATATCCTCAAAGCCCACTACATCTGACTAATGAGTAAAACTGCATACTCAGAACTCTACTCTTATTCTTTTAAGTCTTCTTTTAAGGGAGGTCCTGGGAACTTAGACATCTCTCTTCCTCCCACAAAAGCCAAGTATTTAAGGATATTGTCTTGCAAAATGTTTGTATACTGTAGGCTGAATTTTTTTTAAAAATCTCTTCATTTTGGAAAATTTCAGTTATAAGCAATTGTAAAATAATATTTTATTGAGCTTCCATGGGGATATCACCGGGCTTGACCAATTACACAATTATCAATTAATGGACAATCTTTTTTTAAAAATCTATACCCCTATCAGAACTGGGGTGGGAATAGTGCACTGGACTATCGTGGGCACAGGGTAAATAGGTGGTAGGAAACCATGGGGACTACACCTGAGATGAAAAAAATGCACAAAAAGAAGAGTGATGTAATAAACAAACAAACAAATAAAAATTTTAAAACGTGAAAAGAAAAAAGTCTATATAAATAAATAAATAAAATTTTAAAAACATGAAAAGAAAAAGAAGTCTAAACTCTGTTTTCCTTGGCCATCATTTAAAACCAAATCCCAGCCATCATATCATTTTATCTGTAAATATTGACAGAAAGTAAGGAAGTCATCAACCACTACTAGGCCTGTGTCAAAGAGGCTGAAAAGCCAATTCAAATAGGCTCCCACCCTTAGGTAGGGATGGGTCAATTTGAGGACCAAAAAATGATAATTACTTTTGTTTCAAACACATCAAATATAATTATAAGTGGATAGTGATTCTTAAACAATTCAGGTTTTTGGTCACTACTGATGTGGTAAAAGGGTATGAACTCATTATTTTGAAAACTTCCAGACAAAAAGAAAATAATCATGAATTTATTCTGTTCTTTTTTTTTTTTTTTTTTTACAAACTGGACTTCTGGATAACTGTTTAGGTTTTACTTTTACCCTGACTTTCCATTTTCTTTCCTGGTTTAAAAACTCTAATCTTCTCTAATGTGATGGATGTCTCTGGCTACTTGGTTAAGAGAAGATCTTATTGTTGGCTCATAACCTCATGAGTTATCCAGTGAAGTATGAAACTACCCCATTCCCTACATGGAGGGTAAAGAGAGGAGACTAAAAAGAAACAGGCCACTACTGATTAGTAGGTGGCAGGGAACTCACATACAAGGTTTGTTTTGGGCAAACCTCAAAAATGAATAGGTTTCCACGCCTGCCCACTACAATCTTAAAGGTTTGTAAAGAGGCCTTACCTGGGTTCGTCACATACACTATCCAGATGGTCTCAACAACACATTATTTTCTCAAACTGTACCTTGAGTCAGTTCCTGATGTGGGAATGGTGGGTAGAATCTCCATTCCATAGGCAGGGGTGGGAGGGCCTTTGATTGCCCACACCAACTCTCAGGTCTGGTGGTCACATCCTCTTGACGATCTCCACCAACAGTTTGTATGTAAAGTTCTGCATAAAATAAAAATGATTTTAGTAGATTTTTAAAGCCATTATAATCATGTCATACTTCTCCTACTTAGCTCAGTTCACTCTCCCTGTAAACCAGAAATAATTTGACTCCCCCCTTGGTGGGAAAGGTGATGAGACCCAGATGAAGCCCAGATAAAGACAACATCACTCTGCAGCCTGTATTGTGGGAATCTGCACCTAACTGCATACAACAGAAATTTATTTTTAGCAAAACAACCAAACATGAATTTATTTTTCTGATGTAAAAAGAAGTCTGAAGGCAGGTTGTCCAGGGTTTGTATAAGAGCTCTATGATGCCCTCAAGGAACACAGATACTTTGATCGGTCTTTAATATACAAATTTTGTCCTCATAGCCACAAAATGGTTACCTCCTTCAGGTATCATATCAGTGTCCAGGCAGGAAGAAGGAAAGAATCCAAAAGCCAGAGTGGCTCCTTGCTAGGCTTTGATTTTTATTTAGGAAGGAATATTCTGTTGAAGATTTACTTACATTTCTTTGGCCACAATTTGTTCATGCGGTCATACTAGCTGCAAAGGAATATAGAGAGTATTTTAGAAAATTAGGGTTCTCTTACTAATCCAAAGCAGGGAAATGAATGTTGGGTGACTAGTAGGATTTGACACACTGTTTTAGAGTATTTTCATGACATTCTTATTTGGCAACTGAATTTGGCAATCAGCTGCCATGAGAGTTGAGAAACTCTAAACTCATTATAGTAACAGATAAAGGCTTGGCCTATTATTTGTTGATGTCACATAATGTGGAAGCAGTAGAATAAATGAATGTTTACCGTTCACCCAGACTGCCTGCCCTTGAAGAAAAAAGGGTTTCGTGAGACAATTTCCTGCCACTAAAGAATGAACACCAAGTCTTGTGTTAAAAGATTTCATTAGGGTAATCAGTTGGTTTCTCTGTAGAAATTATTAAAGAGCCAAGTCTTTAGCTTTTAGATATTGTGTAAGTATAAACATTAGTTGGGATCATATTTATCCTCTTATTAATTGTATGATTTGTTTGAACATAGACATTATGGGAGTTACTGGTGATTATCAGTTAGGAATGGTTTACTCTTTTTGTAATTCTTGAGAGGAGCCTTTCAAAATTCAATAATGAATTTGAAAACACATGGATTCATACTTAAAGTGACTAAGAAATTTTTTAAGAATGTAAAACTGTCCTATGCTGGTTAATACTTTGGGAAGCACTCATATAATTTTCAAATACATAAAATGGCATGCTTAGGGTAGGACTGAAAAGGTCCCCTTGCCCCCATCCCAAATTATATTCCCAAATGGTACTGTGCCTATAATTCCACCATTAAAAAGATATAGTTTTGGCTTTTATTTTAGATCTTAAAGGGTTTTTTTTTGAGATGTAAATGAGTTCTAGATTACAATAACAGTAAAGATTTTTACATTGATTTTGATTTAATATTCAGTCTAAAATGGAAAAAAATAGCTCTAGTAAATTATGAAGGATAGATGGGAGAGAGATAGTTGAGCCAGGAAGAGGAACAAAATGAGGTATGCAGATTTTAGTTTGTCAATTTAATCACTTTTTTTTAAAAATTAATTATTTATACAGAACTGGGGTACAGGCCAAAGATGCAGAGGCTGAGAGGATTTACCAGGAATAGAGTGGGGAGCAGAACAGGCAGATCGACAAAGTACACTGCTGAGGGGAGCAGCGGGCGGGTCAGGAGAGGTCTGCCATGCCAATTTAATCAGTTCCTACAGGCAAACAGTACATACTGCACAAACGACCCAGTGCTCACAAATGCAGTGGTTCCCAACCTTTACTCTAGCTAAATATTATAATCCGTTGGGATATTTTTTTTAAACTGCTTATAATACTGCCCTCCCTTTCCCTTTACTAAGAGCCCATTGAGGGCAAGAATCGGTATCATGCATTTCCCAGCACCTAGCTCACTGCTTGGCATTTGCTCAACGTATATTTGTAGAATGAATTAAAATTACCAGCATGTGCAATTACTTAAAGGACAAGCAGGAGGGTGCTGAGGTAACAGAGTCAAAAAATGACAGTAGCTTAAAGCAGCAAACTTTTTTGCCTCTCACTCATACCACCTGTTCTTTGTG